TAAAAAAAAAGAAGTTGTTAAAAATATATGTTTGTTTGCTTTGAATTTAGCTATCCGTCCCTAATTTAGCAGTGTAAGACTAGAGGGAAAGAAGCTAGTCATCACCACCCACCGCCAACTCTTATGCTACTCTTTTACCAACGAATAGTGGAATTGACCGTCACTTTATAACGCTCCCATGGCTGAAAGGACGAGCATGTATGGTGGGACTTTGAACCCCGCGACCCTCAGATTGGGAGTCGAGCGCCCTAACCACCTGGCCATGCCATATTATTGAATACTGATTTTTGTGAATAAAGTATTTTTGGATCATACAGCATACTGTTTTTTTTTCCCCCAATTTAGAAAATACATATGCACTTCCAGTAGCTGATTTTAGAGAGAAGCAAAACTCGACTAGAAAAGACAAAACTCAAATAAATTTAATATTATTATTGGTAATTACGGAATGTAATTAAATTTTCCTCAATATTATTAGCGAATTCGCTGTTGTTGTTTGTTTTTTTTCTTTAAAAGTTATTTAGAATAACACTTAAAGATAAAAATTCCAACTTGGGAGTTCGTACTGACTTATTATCAGAAGAAATATGTTGTTATTCTAATTTACAGTTGCCCCCCAGTGGCCAGCAGCATGTCTACCTGTGGTGGGCAGAGCACAGATAGCCCATTCATTGTGTAGCTTTGTGCTTAACTGTAAATAAATAAACATATTTACAGTTGACGTCACACAGATAATGACATCGCGGTTGGCCGGTAATTTTTGTAAGGTGGTGGCTGACCCATTCGGTAACTATATAAGACAAGCATATTCGGCGACGGGGATTCGAACTTGGAACTTAAGGGAATAAAATGTAACTTGTTCCGCATAATGGACGGGCTGAAAAAACTAGAAAATTAATTAATAAAAAGGTATACAATTGTTTCCAACGGACTAAGTCAATCCATTTTAATATAAACCAAAAGTTGTTTTTAGTTACTTTCACCAGAGCTTATGAAAACATTTTCAATCATTCATGTTATATAAAAATGAACAATGTCGTGAAAAAAAATGCTAAGTTTTGTAAATATGATGCGCCTGCGTATTAAATCAGGCCTTTTAATTGTCAGAAAACACAATATTACTGAACTGAGTAGAAGAAACCTATACCAACCCTCCCGGCCATGCTAGACAACGGTTCCATTAAGGGAGTTTCCACAGTTATATTACTGTCATCTTCTTCGTGGTCTGGTTGAACTCCTTGTTTGTAAATGTCGATCTTAGGGTATTCTGACGCTGGGTTCGTTCGTCTCACGGCACCTGACGCATGAGATACGAACATGGCAGGTTCTTGCGTATCCTGAGGATATGTACCAAATAAATTCTTAATCAAGCCAACCATCTTTCGAAAGCTACTTTGTTATTCAACTGCATCAGTAATCTCTTTATATTTCTAATTTATTTTTACACCAAAAGGAAAAAGTACGTATTAATATCATATCATACCCTTACATGAAATTTTGATTTGAAAATATAATATCAATAGAAAAAAACAAAACAAAAGCAAAGCGCATGCACTGAAAAGGCAAAAAAAATAAAAAAATAAAAACACTATACAAGCTATGGAACATAAAAATGTAGTCATATAACACCAACGGAAGTAAACAGATTTAAGGTGTATTTTCAGGATTAAAGTACGTAAACAAAAGTATTAAATATATATATATATATATATAAACTTACAATACTCATAAACTAAATATACTAATTTTACTTTGCTATTAGATATTGGTAAGTCATGTTTTTAAAGTTCAATTTCTGGGCATCAGAAATTACCAACTTCGACAAATTTACAACAACCTATTATTCCTAATTATATTATGCTGTAGTTTACAGAGAGTTATATAGTATCTCACGATATTAAAATATAAAGTGAACCTACACACTATTTTCACCTTATACTAACAGCAAGTTTGTTTTGAAGAATGTACAA